TTATTATTTTATATTTATTTATTATTTATTTATTATTTATTATTTATTTATTTTTATTTATTTATTATTTATTATTATCTATAATGTATAATATATATATATAATTTATAATAATAATAGTTATGATTAATGCAGTTTTAAAATCATATAATAATAATAATATAAAATAAAGTGCAGAAATAATAAAATATCTAAATTAGCAAAATAATAATATAAAATAAATAATAATAATATAAAATATAGTGTAGAAATAATAAAATAAATTAGCAAAATAATAATATAAGGCAAATAATAATAGCATAAAATATAAAATATAGTGTAGAAATAATAAAATAAATAAATTAGCCAAATAATAATATAAATTAAATAAGAATAACATAAAATATAAAATATAGTGTAGAAATAATAAAATAAATTAGAAAAATAATAATATAAAATAAATAAGAATATAATATGAAAATAAGAGTGAAACGCTATGTCAAAATAATTAAATAATAAGAATAAGAATAAATAAGAATAAAATGTGAAAATAAGAGTGAAACACCATATTGAAATAATAAAATAATAATAATAATAATATGAAAATAAGAGTGAAACACTATATAGAAATAATTAAATAATAAGAATAAGAATAAATAAGAATAAAATATGAAAATAAGAGTGAAACACAATGTCAAAATAATAATAAAATAATAGTATAAAATAAATAATGAAATATGAAAATAAGCGTGAAACATGTTGAAATAATAAAATAATTATAATACTCTAAAATAAATAAGAATAAAATACGAAAATAAGAAACACTATGTAGAAATAATTAAATAATAATATAAAATAAATAAGAATAAAATATGAAACTAAGTGAAACACAATGTTGAAATAATTAAATAATAATATAAAATAAATAAGAATAAAATATGAAAGTAAGTGAAACACAATGTTTAATATTAATAATCTATATATATAAATTTGTTAGGGGCATCCAACGAGGAAACAAAACTCAAAAACCCCCCAACGAAACTTAACCAAAATTCCCATGCCCATAACACAACCCACAAGGTACAAACATATCTACTCAAAATGAAAAACAACACAACAACACACTCACAAAACGGCAAAAAACAAAACTCAAAAAACCCCCAACGAAACTTAACCAAAATTCCCATGCCCATAACACAACCCACAAGGTACAAACATATCTACTCAAAATGAAAAACAACACAACAACACACTCACAAAACGACAAAACAACAACTCAAAAACCCCCAACGAAACTTAACCAAAATTCCCATGCCCATAACACAACCCACAAGGTACAAACATATCTACTCAAAATGAAAAACAACACAACAACACACTCACAAAACGGCAAAAGAATAAAACTCAAGAAACCCCAACGAAACTTAACCAAAATTCCCATGCCCATAACACAACCCACAAGGTACAAACATATCTACTCAAAATGAAAAACAACACAACAACACACTCACAAAACGGCAAAACAACAAAACTCAACCCCAACGAAACTTAACCAAAATTCCCATGCCCATAACACAACCCACAAGGTACAAACATATCTACTCAAAATGAAAAACAACACAACAACACACTCACAAAACGGCAAAACAACGAAACTCAAAACCCCCCCAACGAAACTTAACCAAAATTCCCATGCTCATAACACAACCCACAAGGTACAAACATATCTACTCAAAATGAAAAACAACACAACAACACACACAAAAAACAAAACTCAAAAAAACCCAAACGAAACTTAACCAAAATTCCCATGCCCATAACACAACCCACAAGGTACAAACATATCTACTCAAAATGAAAAACAACACAACAACACACTCACAAAACGGCAAAACAACAAAACTCAAAAAAACCCCAACGAAACTTAACCAAAATTCCCATGCCCATAACACAACCCACAAGGTACAAACATATCTACTCAAAATGAAAAACAACACAACAACACACTCACAAAACGGCAAAACAACAAAACTCAAAAAAACCCCAACGAAACTTAACCAAAATTCCCATGCCCATAACACAACCCACAAGGTACAAACATACCTACTCAAAATGAAAAACAACACAACAACACACTCACAAAACGGCAAAACAACGAAACTCAAAAATCCCCCAACGAAACTTAACCAAAATTCCCATGCCCATAACACAACCCACAAGGTACAAACTTATCTACTCAAAATGAAAAACAACACAACAACACACTCACAAAACGGCAAAACAACGAAACTCAAAAATCCCCCAACGAAACTTAACCAAAATTCCCATGCCCATAACACAACCCACAAGGTACAAACGTATCTACTCAAAATGAAAAACAACACAACAACACACTCACAAAACGGCAAAACAACTGAGCATGCGCATTGGCGCCCAGCCGCAAGTTCCCTGGCGCGCGCACATGCCCTTCCGGCCAACGTTCCCTCTGCGGAAACCATGCCCACTCCAAGCCCCGCCGCGCCGCTTCCCGCACACACACACACCCCTGCCGCACATACACACACAACCCCACACTCCATCACTCCCCCCGCCGCCGCACACACACACGCAACCCCACACTCCATCACTTCCCCCGCTGCCGCACGCACACACGCAACCCCACTCCCCCCGCCGCCGCACACACACACGCAACCCCACTCCCCCCGCCGCCGCACACACACACGCAACCCCACGCTCCATCACTCCCCCCGCCGCTGCACACACACACACAACCCCACGCTCCATCACTCCCCCACCCCAATCTTACCTCCTTTTACTTCACGCCACCTCCAAACCCCACCCCGCCCCTTCCCGCCCTGTCAAAATCTAGGAAAGACAGGAAGGAAGGAAAGAAGGAAGAAAGAGAAAGGGAGGTAAAGAAAAAGGGGGAAGGAAGGAAAGTTAGAGAAAGAAGGAAGAAGAAAAGGAAAGAAAAGAAAAGATGGAAGGAAAGAAAAGAGAGACAGCAGAAGAGAAAGAAAAAAGAGATAGAGAAAAGAGGAGAAGGAAAGAGGAGGGAAGGAAGGAAGGAGGAGGGAAAGAAGGAGAGAAAGAGGGAAGATTGGCCACAGCAACACGTGGCGGGTAAAGGTTGTTATTTCTATTATTATTATTATGCTATTATTCCTATGAGACCCTTTTAGGGGGAATGGGAGAGGTGTCAGGTCCCAGAGGCAATGCATTGCATTATTGTTATTGTTATGATGGTGGTAAAATAAAAGGAAATAAAAAGTGAAAGAAGGAAGCAAACAGGGAGGGAAGAAAGGCAAAGGAAGGAAGGGGGAGGGAATGAAGGAAAGAGAGAAGGATGAAACCAAGTAGTGAAAGAAGGAAAGAAAGAAAGAGGTAGAGAAGGAAGAAAGGAGAGAAAGGGGGAGGAAAAGGGGGAAGGAATAGGTAGGGACCTCTCTTTCATAATAGTCCAGATATCTACCTCAACTTTGATAAGTTTTACTATAGGCCACAGCAACGCGTGGCAGGGCACAGCTAGTTTATTTTATATTATTATTATTATTTAATTATTTCAACATTGTGTTTCACTTAGTTTCATATTTTATTCTTATTTAGTTTATATTATTATTATTATTTAATTATTTCAACATTGTGTTTCACTTAGTTTCATATTTTATTCTTATTTATTTTATATTATTATTATTATTTAATTATTTCAACATTGTGTTTCACTTAGTTTCATATTTTATTCTTATTTAGTTTATACTAGCTGTGCCCTGCCACAATGTTGAAATAATTAAATAATAATAATAATATAAAATAAATAAGAATAAAATATGAAACTAAGTGAAACACAATGTTGAAATAATTAAATAATAATATAAAATAAATAATAAAATATTGAAATAAGAATAAAATACGATGTAGAAATGAATTAATTACAATTATAAAAGAAATTAATAATGAACTCCTGCATCCATCCGAAGGCTTCCATTTGGGGAAGAGAAGGACAATTCAGCATTTCGAATATTTTCCAGCTCTCGGCATAAGTGTATTAATTCCTTTATTTGCAATTTAATCGAATACGAAATTCATCTCATCAGTCCGACTTAATATTTATTGCTACAGTTTGGCAGCGCAATCGTCAATACAACACAACAACACCCCGAAAATACAACACAACAACAAAAAATTGTGGACAAGGAAGGGTTACCTCTACAGAACACACTGTCTCTGAACCAAAAAAGAAAACAATTTATTTATATATATATTTTTTAAAAATCCATAAAAACACCCTTTAAATTCCCTTAAAAACCAGTTTAACGAGAAACAAGGTGCGTCTACACTGCAGAATTAACGCAGTTTGAAACCGCTTTAACTTCCATGGCTCGGTGAGTGTGGCGGAGTCCTGGGAGTTATAGTTTGCATTATTTTTGCACCTAAGGCGGAAGACCTTGGGAAACGACAACTCCCAGGAGTCCATAGCAATGAGCCATAGCATTGGAATTTAAAGCGGTTTCAAACTGCATTAATTCCATAGTGTGGGTGCACTAACTTCCATGGCTCAGTGAGTGTGACGGAGTCCTGGGAGTTATAGTTTGCATTATTTTTGCACCTAAGGCGGAAGACCTTGGGAAACGACAACTCCCAGGAGTCCATAGCAATGAGCCATAGCATTGGAATTTAAAGCGGTTTCAAACTGCATTAATTCCATAGTGTGGGTGCACTAACTTCCATGGCTCAGTGAGTGTGACGGAGTCCTGGGAGTTATAGTTTGCATTATTTTTGCACCTAAGGCGGAAGACCTTGGGAAACGACAACTCCCAGGAGTCCATAGCAATGAGCCATAGCATTGGAATTTAAAGCGGTTTCAAACTGCATTAATTCCATAGTGTGGGTGCACTAACTTCCATGGCTCAGTGAGTGTGACGGAGTCCTGGGAGTTATAGTTTGCATTATTTTTGCACCTAAGGCGGAAGACCTTGGGAAACGACAACTCCCAGGAGTCCATAGCAATGAGCCATAGCATTGGAATTTAAAGCGGTTTCAAACTGCATTAATTCCATAGTGTGGGTGCACTAACTTCCATGGCTCAGTGAGTGTGACGGAGTCCTGGGAGTTATAGTTTGCATTATTTTTGCACCTAAGGCGGAAGACCTTGGGAAACGACAACTCCCAGGAGTCCATAGCAATGAGCCATAGCATTGGAAGTTAAAGCGGTTTCAAACTGCATTAATTCCATAGTGTGGGTGCACTAACTTCCATGGCTCAGTGAGTGTGACGGAGTCCTGGGAGTTATAGTTTGCATTATTTTTGCACCTAAGGCGGAAGACCTTGGGAAACGACAACTCCCAGGAGTCCATAGCAATGAGCCATAGCATTGGAAGTTAAAGCGGTTTCAAACTGCATTAATTCCATAGTGTGGGTGCACTAACTTCCATGGCTCAGTGAGTGTGACGGAGTCCTGGGAGTTATAGTTTGCATTATTTTTGCACCTAAGGCGGAAGACCTTGGGAAACGACAACTCCCAGGAGTCCATAGCAATGAGCCATAGCATTGGAAGTTAAAGCGGTTTCAAACTGCATTAATTCCATAGTGTGGGTGCACTAACTTCCATGGCTCAGTGAGTGTGACGGAGTCCTGGGAGTTATAGTTTGCATTATTTTTGCACCTAAGGCGGAAGACCTTGGGAAGCGACAACTCCCAGGAGTCCATAGCAATGAGCCATAGCATTGGAAGTTAAAGCAGTTTCAAACTGCATTAATTGCATAGTGTGGATGCACTCCCAATCCCATTGGGTTTGACCTATTGTTGATTTTCCCCTGCTATGTACAGACTTATATTAAAGCAGGATACATCCGAACCCCCTTTTGCTAGGCAGGAAGGCACAATCCGATCCCTCCCAACAGATGGCCATCCAGCCTCTGCTTAAAGGGCAAGATAGACAGAATAATCGAAAGGTGGCCAATCCGAGAGACGAATGCATCCCCCTTTTCCATGGCGTCCATCCAAATCCCCTTTTGCTAGGCAGGAAGGCACAATCCAATCCCTCCCGACAGATGGCCATCCAGCCTCCCATAAAGCAATTGGATCAAATTGGTTATTCATTTGATTGAATCCTAGAATGATAAGGAGTGGAGGAGATACTGGAAGGGCCGTCCATCCGAATCCCCTTTTGCTAGCCAGGAAGGCACAATCCGATCCCTCCCGACAAATGGCCATCCAGCCTCCCATAAAGTAATGGGATCAAATTGGTTATTCATTTGATTGAATCCTAGAGTGATAAAGAGTTGGAGGAGATGCTGGAAGGGCTGTCCATCCGAACCCCCTTTTGCTAGGCGGGAAGGCACAATCCGATCCCTCCCGACAGATGGCCACCCAGCCTCCCATAAAGCAATTGGATCAAATTGGTTATTCATTTGATTGAATCCTAGAGTGATAAAGAGTTGGAGGAGATGCTGGAAGGGCCGTCCATCCGAACCCCCTTTTGCTAGGCGGGAAGGCACAATCCGATCCCTCCCGACAGATGGCCATCCAGCCTCCCATAAAGTAATTGGATCAAATTGGTTATTCATTTGATTGAATCCTAGAGTGATAAAGAGTTGGAGGAGACGCTGGAAGGGCTGTCCATCCGAACCCCCTTTTGCTAGGCGGGAAGGCACAATCCGATCCCTCCCGACAGATAGCCACCCAGCCTCCCATAAAGCAATTGGATCAAATTGGTTATTCATTTGATTGAATCCGAGAATGATAAGGAATTGGAGGAGATACTGGAAGGGCCGTCCATCCGAATCCCCTTTGGCTAGGCAGGAAGGCACATTTCGATCCCTCCCAACAGATGGCCACCCAGAGGAGAGATTCCACTGCCAAACAGCATTGGTTGCAATGGAAAAGGCGGCTGACTACATTCAACGTTCCCAAATAATAATAATAACGATATGATAGACATGGAGTGAGTCCTGCTCCGCTGATTTCTCTCATTCGTGTTCTTCCAGTCATAAAGAGGTTTCAGAAGGAGCCAAAACAGAGAGGGGGAAAAGTCCTTCCTTGCAGTTTTCCTTGCTGGGATCGGGGCCAAAAATGTGTCCTTTCCCCCCTAATTTTTCCAGGTCCAGATATATACTTTTCGGCTTCCGTTTTGGATGTCGACGCTGTAGACACTTCATGGCATTCTTGGCTGAGGTCTCACCCGAGGAAAGAGCTGAGAAAGAGGGATACAGAAAGCCAAGTCAGTTCATTCGTACAGACCGTTGTTGTGCGGCAGCAAATGCAAACATATCATCATCATCATGTTTATTTATTGCAAACTACAGCTCCCAAGATTGCAAACTACAACTCCCAGGATTGCAAACTTCAGCTCCCGGGACTGCAAATGACAACTCCCAGGATTGCAAATTCCCAGGATTGCAAACTACAGCTCTCAGAATTGTAAAGTACAACTCACAGGGTTGCAAACTACAGCTCTCAGAATTGTAAAGTACAACTCACAGGATTGCAAACTACAGCTCCTGGGACTACAAATGACAACTCTCAGGATTGCAAACGACAACTCCCAGGATTGTAAAGTACAACTCCCAGGATTGCAAATGACAACTCCCAGGACTACAAACTACAACTTCCAGTATTGCAATCTACAGCCCCCGGGACTGCAAATTACAACTCCTGGGATTGCATACTACAACTCCCAGGATTGCAAACAACAACTCCCAGAATTGCAAAGTAAAACTTCCAGGATTGTAAACTACAACTCCTAGGATTGCAAATGACAACTCCCAGAATTGCAAACTACAACTCCCAGGATTGCAAACTACAACTCCCAGGTTTGCAAATTAAAACTCCCAGGATTGCAAATTACGGCTCCCGGGACTGCAAATTAAAACTCCCAGGATTGCAAACTACAGCTCCCGGGACTGCAAACTCCAACTCCCAAGACTGCAAATGACAACTCCTAGGATTGTAAACGACAACTCCCAGAATTGCAAATGCCAACTCTCAGGTTTGCAAACTACAACTCCTAGGATTGCAAATGATAACTTCCAGGATTGCAAATGCCAACTCTCAGGTTTGCAAACTACAACTCTTAGGATTGCAAATGATAACTTCCAGGATTGCAAACAACAACTCCCAGAATTGCAAATGACAACTCTTAGGATTGCAAACTACAGATCCCAGGACTGCAAATTAAAACTCCCAGGATTGCAAATGACAATTCCCAGGATTGCAAACTACAACTCCCAGGATTGCAAACTACAGATCCCAGGACTGCAGATTAAAACTCCCAGGATTGCAAATTGCAACTCCCAGTACTGCAAACGACAACTCCCAGAATTGCAAATTCCCAGGATAGCGAAGTACAACTCCCAGGATTGCAAACTACAGCTCCCAGGACTACAAATGACAACTCCCAGGATTGCAAACTACAGATCACAGTGATGATGATGATGACAAGTGTGGTGGGTGCTCACCCCGAAGTAGTTCTTGGGCACGTATCCCTCCTGCCCGTAGAGGGAAGCCCACCACCAGTCGGTCTCCTCGGCCCCGTCCCGCCGGAGGACGGTCACCGGCTCCCCCTCCCGGAAGGAGAGCTCGTCCTTGAACTCGGCGCTGTAGTCCCACAAGGCGTACACTGCCCCGTTGTTCATCAGCCCCATGCTCTGCTCCACGTCTGCAAGGCACAAGAAGGCACACGCTTAGCAACACGTCCCAACATGGAGAGAGAGGGAGCCACTGGCCTAGGGCACATCCGGGAATTATTGGCTTCCTGCCTGCCTGCCTGCCTTTTGGGATCTCTCTCTCTTTCTGTCTTCCTTCCTTCCTTCCTCCTTTCTTTTCTTCTGCCGTCCTTCCTTCCTCACTCCTTCCCTTCTTTTTTCTTCTTTCCTGCCTCTTCCTGTCCTGCCGTCCTCCCTTCCTCTTTCCATCTTTCTTCCTCCCTTCCTTCCTCACTCCTTCCCTTCTTTTTTCTTCCTTCCTTCCTTTCTTGTCTTTCTCTTTCTGTCTTCTTTCCTTCCTCACTCCTTCCCTTCTTTCTCGTTCTGTCCTTCCCTCTCTCCTTCCTTCCTTCCTATTTCTGTTTATCTTCCTCCCTGCCTCACTGCTTCCCTCCCTCCCTCCTTTCCTTCTTCCCTTCCTAAATTCCTCTTTCCATCTTTCTTCCTCCCTTCCTTCCTCACTCCTTCCCTTCTTTTTTCCTTCCTTCCTCTTTCTGTCTTTTCTTCCTTCCTTCCTTGTCTTTCTTTCTATTTGTGTCTTCTTTCCTTCCTCACTCCTTCCCTGCTTCCTTTCTTTCGCTTTCTGTTTTTCTTCCTCCCTGCCTCACTGCTTCCCTTCTTCCCTTCCTAAATTCCTCTTTCCATCTTCCTTCCTTCCTTCCTCACTCCTCCCCTCCTTTTTTTCTTCCTTCCTTCCTTCCTTCCTCTTCCTGTCCTCCTTTCCTATTTTGGGTTTCCTTCTTTCCTTCCTCTTCCTGTCCTCCCTGTCTTCCTTCCTCTGTCTTCCTAAATTCCTCTTTCCATCTTTCTTTCTTTCTTCCTTCCTCACTTCTTCCCTTCTTTTTCTTCTTTCTTGCCTCTTCCTGTCCTGCCTTCCTTCTTTCCTCTTTCCACCTTCCTCCCTTCCTTCCTCACTCCTTCCCTTCTTTTTCCTCCGTCTCTCCCTCCCTTTCTCTTTCTGTCTTTCTCCTTCCCTCCCTCCCTTCCTCACTCCTTCCCTTCTTTTTTCGTCCTTCCTTCCTTTCTTGTCTTTCTTCTGTCTTCTTTCCTTTCTCTCCTTCCCTCCTTCCTTTCCTTTCTTTCTCTTTCTGTTTTTCTTCCTCCCTTCTTCCCTCCCTCCCTTCTTTCCTTCCTCTCTTCCTAAATTCCTCTTTCCATCTTTCTTCCTTCCTTCCTCACTCCTTCCCTCTTTTTTCCTTCCTTCCTTCTTTCCTTTCTCTTCCTGTCCTCCCTTCCTATTTTGGGCTTCCTTCCCTTCTTTTTTCTTCTTTCTTCCTCTTCCTGTCCTGCTGTTCTTCCTTCCTCTTTCCATCTTTCTTCCTCACTCCTTTCCTTCTTTTCCCTTCCTTCCTTCCTTCCTTCCTTCCTTCCTTCCTTCCTTCCTTCCTTCCTCTTGGGAGATTTGGAAGAAACCACAAGGGCGACCCAGTCCACCCTCCAACCCCCACCACGCAGGAACATAGAATCAAAGCATCTTCCTTTCTGTCTTTTTTTCTTTCTCTTCCTTTCTTTCCTTACTTCTTATCGCGTTACTTTCTTTCTTTTTCTGACTGTCTTTTCCTTCTTTCCTTTCTTCCTTTCTCTCTCTTTCTTTCTTTCATTCCTTTTCTCACTCCTTTCCTTTCTCTTTCTTTCTTCCTTTCCTTCCTTTCCTCACTCCCTTCCTTCCTTCCTTTCTCCTTCCTTCCTTTCCTCCCTCCCTCTTTCTTTCTTTTCTTCTTTCCTTTCTTCCTTTCTCTCTTTCTTTCATTCTTTTTCTCACTCCTTTCTTTTCTCTCTTTCTTTCTTCCTTTCCTTCCTTTCTTCCTCCCTTCCTTCCTTCCTTCCTTCCTTCTTCCTTCCTTCCTCCTTTCCTCCCTCCCCCCTCTTTCTTTCTTTCCTTCTTTTCTTTCTTCCTTCCTTTCTCTCTTCTTTCTTCCCTTCTCTCCTCCTTTCTTTCTTTCTTTCTTTCCTTCCCTCCCTCTTTCTCTCCTTTTTTCCCTCCTTCCTTCGCTCCCTCTTTCCTTCCTTCCCTTTCCTCTTTCTTTCTCTCCTTCCTTCATTCTCTATGTCTTTCCTTCCTTCTCTCTTTCATTCTTTCTTGCCCTCTTTCTTTCTTTCTTTCTTTCTTTCTTTCTTTCTTTCTTTCTTTCTTTCTTTCTTTCTTAGTATCCAAGGGTTGGAAGAGACCAGGAGGGCCATCCAGTCCAACATACTGCCAAGAAGCAGGACCATGCAAGGACATGGATCCAACACATCTTTCTGTCTGTGCATCTGTCTTCCTTCCATCCTTCTGTCCCTTCCTTTCTTCCCCTCTTTCCCCCTCCCTCACTCACCTGCCAGGTAGCTGAAGCACTCGCTGTATCCTTCGCGGTAGGGGTCACACTTCTCGATGGCCATGCTCCCGTCGCTGAACGTAGTAGCAAAGATGGCCGCGCCGTGCTTGACCAGGGCAATGCAGATGGCTGTGTCATTGCAGGATGCCGCGCAATGCAAGGGGGTCCTAGGAAAGGGAAAGAGAGAAAGGCCAAGTCAAGGACCATGTCTTCTCCCAAGGGATTTCGCTCATGTTTTGAGATAGACCATCTCCCTTGGATACAGCCTAAGGCCCCTTCCAATTTCTGGACATCTAAGATGTATCTAATTTATGACCACCTTCAAGATGTTTCCAACTTAGGGCCACCATCAAGGTGCTTCCAACTTCTGGTCATCTAAGATGCATCTAATTTATGACTACCTTCAAGGTGTTTCCAACTTAGGACCACATTCAACGTGTTTCCATTGCATGGCCACCTTCAAAGTATCTCCAACTTATGGTCATCTAAGATATCTCAAACTTAGGGCCACCTTCAAGATGTTTCCAACTTCTGGTCATCTAAGATGCATCTGATTTATGACCACATTCAAGGCATTTCCATTTCATGGCCACCTTCAAGGTATCTCCAGCTTATTGTCATCTAAGATATCTCAAACTCAGGGCCACCTTCAAGATGTTTCCAACTTCTGGTCATCTAAGGTGCATCTAATTTATGACTACCTTCAAGATGTTTCCAACTTAGCGCCATATTCAAGGTGTTTCCATTGTATGGCCGTCTTCAAGGAATCTCCAACTTATGGTCATCTAAGATATCTCAAACTTAGGGCCACCTTCAAGATGTTTCCAACTTCTGGTCATCTAAGATGTATCTAATTTATGACTACCTTCAAGGTGTTTCAAACTTAGGACCACATTCAAGGCGTTTCAATTGCATGGCCACCTTCAAGGTATCTCCAGCTTATCATCATCTAAGATATCTCAAACTTAGGGCCACCTTCAAGATGTTTCCAACTTCTGGTCATCTAAGATGCATCTGATTTATGACCACATTCAAGATGTTTCCAACTCAGGGCCACATTTGAGGCGTTTCCATTGCATGTCCACCTTCAAGGTATCTCCAACTTAAGGTCATCTAAGATATCTCAAACTTAGGGCCATTTTCAAGATGTTTCCAACTTCTGGTCATCTAAGATGTATCTAATTTATGACCACCTTCAAAGGGTTTCCAACTTAGGGCCACATTCAAGGTGTTTCCATTGCATGGCCACCTTCAAGGTATCTCCAGCTTATCACCATCTAAGAAATCTCAAACATAGGGCCACCTTCAAGATGTTTCCAAGTTATGGTAATCTAAGATGCACCTAATGATGACCAACTTCAAGGTGTTTCCAACTTTTGGCCACATTCAAGGTGTTTCCAGTGCATGGCCACCTTCAGGGTATCTCCAACTTATCGTCATCTAAGATATCTCAAACTTAGGGCCACCTTCAAGATGTTTCCAACTTCTGGTCATCTAAGATGCATCTGATTATGACCACATTCAAGATGTTTCCAACTCAGGGCCACATTTGAGGCGTTTCCATTGCATGTCCACCTTCAAGGTATCTCCAACTTAAGGTCATCTAAGATATCTCAAACTTAGGGCCATTTTCAAGATGTTTCCAACTTCTGGTAATCTAAGATGTATCTAATTTATGACCACCTTCAAAGGGTTTCCAATTTAGGGCCACATTCACGGTGTTTCCATTGCATGGCCACCTTCAAGGTATCTCCAACTTATGGTTATCTAAGATATCTCAAACTCAGGGCCACTTTCAAGATGTTTCCAACTTCTGGTCATCTAAGATGTATCTAATTTATGACCACATTCAAAGGGTTTCCAACTTAGGGCCACATTCAAGGTGTTTCCATTGCATGGCCACCTTCAAGGTATCTCCAACTTATGGTCATCTAAGATATCTCAAATTCAAGATATTTTGAACTTCTGGTCATCTAAGATGCATCTGATTTATGACGACATTCAAGATGTTTCCAACTTAGGGCCACATTTGAGACGTTTCCATTGCATGTCCACCTTCAAGGTATCTCCAACTTAAGGTATCTAAGATATCTCAAACTTAGGGCCATTTTCAAGATGTTTCCAACTTCTGGTAATCTAAGATGTATCTAATTTATGACCACCTTCAAAGGATTTCCAACTTAGGGCCACATTCAAGGTGTTTCCATTGCATGTCCACCTTCAAGGCATCTCCAACTTAGAGTCATCTAACATATCTCAAACTCAGGGCCACCTTCAAGATGTTTCCAGCTTCTGGTCATCTAAGATGTATCTAATTTATGACCAGCTTCAAGGTGTTTCCAACTTAGGGCCGCATTCAAGGAGCTTCTAATCACAAAGTGTTTCCAATGCATGGCCACCTTAAAGGTATTGCCAAGTTATGGTCATCTAAAATATCTCAAGCTATTTCCAAATTATGTCCATCTACATATCTCTAATTTATGGCCACCTTCAATGGGTTTCCAGCTTATGGTCATCTAAGGTCCCTTCTACACTGCCATGTAATCCAGATTATCAAAGCACGTCATCTCTATGATCTGCTTTGAACTGGATTAGATGAGACTACACTGCCATATAGCCCAGTATAAAGCAAATAATCTAGGTTTTATATGGCAGTGTAGAAGGTATCTCAAGCTAAGATATCTCGAGCTATTTCCAACTTATGGTTATCGAAGATATTTCTAATTTATGGCTGCCTTGTAGGTGTTTCCAACTACAAGGTGTTTCCAAAGCATGGCCACCTTCAAGGTGTTTCCAACTAACTGTATTCTAAGGTATCTTACGGTATTTCCAACTTATGCTCATCTAAGATATCTCTAACGTATGGTCAGTTTCAAGGTGTTGCCAACTTATGGCAGCCTTCAAGATGTTTCTAATTACAAGGTGTTTCCAATGTATGCCCACCTTCAAGGTGTTTCCATTTTATGGTCATCTAGATATCTAAAGCTATTTCCAATTTATAGTCACCTAAGACAACTTTCCATGAAAAGTGAGTAAGGCCCCATCTAATTCAAATTATCTGCTTTGAACTAGATTATGTGACAGTGTAGACTCATACGGTATAATCCAGTTCATATAATGTGGATTGTTGTTGTGGTTCAGTCTGAGCCTGAGCTTTCTGAACCTGAGTTTCCTCAGGACGAGGAGGATGATGGGTTAAAGATTTCTGAACATGTTCCGGTCAGTGAGTCAAATGAAGTTCGAAGAGTTCGAAGAAGCGCACGCCTTGCCAACAAGCGTGAAGCTAGAGGTCAACGTAATGCTTTTATGTTGGGGAAACTTATTTAATTATCTGGTCGAAGGGCATTCTCTGTCAGTCCAATGTTGCTTTTTACCCTGCTAACTTCTGTGGAATTACCTTGGCTTTTACGGAAAGCTTCTGGCTCTTTGGGACTTTGATTTTGATCCTAATTTTTGGAGACTTTTGCTTAATCAATGCTAAAGGACTATGCTTCATGTTATTTGCCTTTGGAACCTGGAAACTTTGCCTTTACATTTAAGACTCTGTATTGCTCATTGAACTTTACTTCTTTACTTCCCTGTTTTGATTTTGCTTTTTCTCAATAAACTACAAAAACTACAGCCTTGGTGTGTGGTGGTGTCTTGGGTGTGGTGGCTGAGCTATTTTCTGATGATGAGGATGATGGGATTCAGATTCCTGCTGGGATTCAGCTTCCTGGCTCTTTCTCTGTGCCTCAAATCCCTGGGCCTGTTTCTGAGGCTCCCACAGACAGTGCAGTGTCAACACATCCATTCCCAGCAGAAAGGAATTTTAACGAAGGAGATAGCGAGCAGGTGCCTTCCCACGCTGATACCGAAAGTGTAGTGACTTGACCCAGCAAGCTTGTCTTGATCTCCGGATCAGGCGGAGCTTTCAGACGAGAAGCCAGCTCGGTGAAAGGTCATCACAATGCTTTTATGATGATGAGAGCCTAATGTTTTCATGTTAGAAAGGTATTTAGGCCTCTTGCAAACCCTGAGAAAGTGTCAGTTCAACGTAGCTTACTAGCCTGGAAGCTTCATGGAATAACCTCAGCCTGGAAAGCAGTACGCTTGGAATTTCTTGCATTGTGATTCATGAGGCAATTGTTTCATTGCTTGTACCTTGGACTCTGGTTTGAACTGTGCCAGTAGGATTGTGTTTCCTGTTTTTACCTGAAGATCTTTGGAACTATTTTCTGCTTTTAACCTTCATCTTTGGAAATTTGCAATGCTTATTCTTTATTTTGACTCAATAAACTATAAAACTACAGCTCGTGTGGTGGTGTTTGGAAGCAAGGTGAAGCTTATTCTGAGTTGCAACATTGGGCAAGGTGAATCTATTCTGAGTTGCGACAATTATCTGATTTGATAATTTGGATTATATGGCAGTGTAGATCCAGCCTAAGACACAAACACATGGCACATCTCTCAAGGCAATGGTTGTATTTGTATGCCGCACAACACCCATTTGAAAGCAGCGCTCTTGCCCTGAGATTCCTCCCCAATGCCCTGAAGTCTGAGGCTGAAGACTGAAGAAAAAAATCTGAGATCTGGCAACTCTACTAGTACTTGAGTTCTATAACTCCCAACAAGGGAGACAGCTCACCATCCATGGCTATCCGGGGAGTTGACGTTGGCCCCGATGTTGATGAGGAAGTCCACAATGTTATAGTTGGCACCGCAGATGGCATTATGCAGGGCGGTGATGCCCTCGTCGTTGGGCTGGCTTGGATCATTCAGCTGAAGGAAGAAGGAGGAGAGGAGAAACAAGTCACAGACTGTCACAGGCATGGGCAAACTGCGGCCCTCCAGGTGTTTTGGACTTTCGAACCAGGAATAGAAGACAATTCAAACTTGGTGTTGCACCTCAGCTAGAGTTCACCAGGAAGCCAAGCGTAGTAATAAACAGTTTACTGTTAAAGCACAAAAAAAATCCAAGAGTTCCAAAAGCCAGAGATAATCTCCAATGCAAAGGTTAAAGCATGAACGTTAATCCAAGGTGCATGGAACAAACGTGAACTTGAGTAGTCCAAGAAACAAGGAACAAAACATGAGCTTAAGTCCATGGTAAAATCCCCAAGAGTGGTAGCAAAACTTGACTAGGAAATTTGGCTTGAAGCTAAGACCAGGACAAGGAACAAGGCAGGAGCTTCTTGCTCTGTTTACTACGTTGCCTGATCTGAGACGTGAGAGCTATTCTTTCCCTAATTAAGGACAGCAATGCATGAAGGCATTCCGTTGGCCTTGACCAGTCTCCCTCAGCCTCTGCCTCCTTTTCCCATGGCTCGGCTTGCACCTGGAATGCACGCCTAGATTCTCTGTCCAACACCCCTTCCTCCCTTCTCTGCCTGCCAGCTTCTAAAACAGTTTTGTTTTCACATAGAGAATCAACCAAATCCTTCGTTCTCCCAACCAGGGAATCGTCATCCTTGATTCTCTGTCCAACGCCCCTTCCTCCCTTCTCTGCCTGTCAGCTTCTAAAACACAGACATGTGCTTTTCATCTCAAGAACAGACAAGCATCCTGAGCTCTGAGGATGACCTGGGAAGGAATCCCACTGGAGCATTGCAGCGCATCCAAATACCTGGGAGTCACTCTGGACCGTGCTCTGACCTACAAGAAGCACTGCCTGAACATCAAGCAAAAAGTGGGTGCTAGAAACAATATCATACGAAAGCTGACTGGCACAACCTGGGGATTACAACCAGACACAGTGAAGACGTCTGCCCTTGCGCTATGCTACTCTGTTGCTGAGTATGCATGCCCAGTGTGGAACACATCCCAACACGCTAAAACAGTGGATGTGGCTCTTAATGAGACATGTCACATTATCACAGGGTGTCTGCGCCCTACACCACTGGAGAAATTACACTCTATTACAGCCAGTATTGCACCACCTGACATCCGCCGGGAAGTAGCAGCCAATAGTGAAAGGACCAAGGCAGAGACACCTCCGGCTCATCCCTTGTTTGGGTATCAGCCAGCACGTTAACGACTTAAATCAAGAAATAGTTTTCTAAGATCTACAGAGACACTCGCTGGAATACCCCAGCAAGCGAGAGTCCAAGAGTGGCAGGCTCAAACCCAGAACCTCAATCAATGGCTGATACCAAATGAGAGACTCCCCCCTGGGCACACAGAAGACTGGGCAACTTGGAAGGCACTGAACAGACTGTGTTCTGGCACCACAAGATGCAGAGCCAACCTCAAGAAATGGGGCCACAAAGTGGAATCCATGACATGCGAGTGTGGAGAGGAGCAAACCACTGACCACCTGCTGCAATGCACCCTGAGCCCTGTTACATGCACAATGGAGGACCTCCTTGTGGCAACACCAGAGGCACTCCAAGGGGCCAGATACTGGTCAAAGGACATTTAATCAACTACTAAGCTTGCAAAATTTGTGTTTTGTTTGTTTGTTTGTTTTAAAAATGCAATACAACTGTTTGGTTTGCTCTTGACACGATAAATAAATAAGCTTCTAAAGCAGTCTCGTTTTCACACAGAGAATCAACCAAATCCTTCTCCGTTCTCCCAACCGGGGAATCGCCACTCTTGATCCTCTGTCCAACCCGTCCCTTCCTCTCTTCTCTGCCTGTCAGCTTCTAAAACAGTTTCATTTTCACACAGAGAATCAACCAAACCCCCCTCCGTTCTCACAACCAGGGAATCACGATTCTGTTCCAACATCCCCTCTGTCTGAGCTCCTCCAGAAGCATCAGGCCCTGCACCCCCCAAACCCCTCACCACCACCACCACCACCATCATCATCATCATCATCATCATCATCATCATCATCATCATCATCCTCCTCAGCTGGCTGAACTACAATATTCGGTTACAGAGTGTAATCAAAGGAAAACAAAACAAAGAAAGAAGGGAGCTCACCTCCTTGACCGCCTCCTTGACCACGTCCAGCTCGCCGGTCAGAGCTGCGTCCAGAAGCAAAACCAAGGGGTTGAGGCGGGCCTTCTTTAGCAGCCGCTTCCGCGGAGAGTTGATCTTGCGCAAGACGGAGCGCTTCTCCTGCAGACCCACGGGGCAAGAAAGAGGTTATGATAGATAGCATGGGTTGATGTCTCAAAAAAAGAAACTCTGCTCTCCCTACTACTATTGCCATCCACAGTCAATCGGTGAGGGTAAAAAAGGAACACCACTCAGCAAGAGAGGAACTCCAGACAACAAGCTGAAAGGGTCTTTGAGCGAAATTTGCAAATACTAAGTAAGGGGCTTTTGGGTGAAAGCTAACAAAATCAGCAAAAGAGAGACATACCCTTTCTCTGACTTAAAAAGAGCAATATGGAAGAAAGTGTTTTTTAAGAAACAAGATGTGACATTTAGAAGGTACTTCTTACACAGGATGCTTGCGGTTAACTTCAAATGTTGTTTTTGAAGCGCAGAGGCCACGTGTACAAGGAGGGTACTTTCCATCAAAAGGTCAGAATTATTATTCATAAAAGGTGTTTTCCCCATGCTTTTTTGTTTGTACTGAGCTATAAAGTTTGCAGATTTCAAGGGAAGAACACGGCAGTCACTTGAAGGGTAGCATCTGTGCATGCTATCGGCTGTCCGTCTTCTTCATGAAGAAACTAAAATAAAACCTTGTTTTTTTGATCTTTCATTGGGACTGTCTCCTTCCTTCCGTGCTCCCACGACGTGGACCTAGAAAGACCCAATTTAGGGTATCTAACAAAGCAATCATGTCCTAAACAGAGGATGGCTCCAGGCAACAATGGCCAGGCTACCTCTATGCAGATACTCTCACTCTATTGACTTTGCAGCTGCAAGGCTACTCCAACTCCCTATAGATAGAGATTCAGGCACGGGAAAACTTCTGCCCTCCAGGTGTTTTGGACTCCAACTCCCACAATTCCTAACAGCCTAACGGCTGTTAGGAATTGTGGGAGTTGGAGTCCAAAACACCTTGAGGGAGGGCCGAAGTTGGTCCGCGCCTGCTGTACGGGATGGCCACACACTTACCGGACTGGGCAGCGGTGTGAGAGCAACAGGACTCTCCGGTGGAGGAGGAGGAAGAGGAGACGGAGGAGTGATGGTCGGTGTGGCCGGAGCAGGAGATGACCCCAAAGCCGTGGTTGGTGTCGGAACCTTCTGTTCGGCGGCTTCACTGATGGGCGCGAGCTCGGCCTCTCCGGTCGGGATGCCCGTCTCCTCTTTGCGGGGCTGTTGCTGCTGGTGGTGGAAGAGGCGGCTGATGATCTGCTGGTATTGCTTCTTGTGCGTCGGCGGCAGAGCCGGACCGGGGCTCTGCTCCATGGAACCGCGGCGCTTGAGTGGCCGGGGCATCTCAGCCAGGACGCGGGCTACCTCCTCGAATTCGGGCACTTTCTGGGCCTCCGGTGGCAGGACTGGCTGTAGCCGCGTGGGGCTCAAGGGGCGGGCCAGGGACTCCATCTCCGACGCTTCGCCCCCCGGGAGGAGGAGGAGACCCTCCAGTTCGGGGTCCGGCTCGGTCAAGGTGATGGGCACATTGCGGACAGGTTCGGCCACAGGGACGGCAGCCCTGGCTCCTGAAAATTATGAAAACACAATGTATCACAATAATATCTGTTCCTGGGTTATCAATATCATTTCCTAATAGGTTCTTTCCTAAATGTTGCACCTCAGCAGGAGTTTACCTTGCTCCAAATTCAGGTGCAAGCAAAGTCATGGGAAGGAGAGGCCGAAGCAGGAATCTCAAGGTCAACGGAATGCTTTCATGTATTGCAGCCTTTAAATTTGGAAGAGAGCTGCACCAGCAGACTAAACATCCTGGGGATTGTAGTTTTGCAAGATCTTGAGCCTCCCCTGCCGAAGGAGGCAGATGCACCAGCAAACTATACATCCTGGAGGCCATCATTTTGCAAGATCTTGAGCCTTCAGTACCAAACAATGCTGATGCACCAGCAAACTACACATCCTGGAGACTGTAGTTTTGCAAAATCTTGAGCCTTCCATACCAAACAATGTTGATGCATCAATAAACGACACATCTTCGAGTCTGTAGTTTTGCAAGATTTCGAGCCTTCCCTGCCAAAGGTAATGATGCATAAGCAAACTACACATCCTGGAGACCATAGTTTTGCAAGATCTTGAGCCTTCTGTACCAAACAATGGTAATGCACCAGAAAACTATACATCCTGGAGAACATCGTTTTGCAAGATTTTGAGCCTTCTGTACCAAACAATGCCGATGCATCAGCAAACTACACATCCTGGAGACTGTAGTTTTGCAAAATTTTGAGCCTTCCATGCCAAACAATGTTGATGCATCAACAAACTACACATTTTGGGGTCTGTAGTTTTGTAAGATCTAGAGCCTTCCCTGCCAAAGGTAATGATGCATAAGCAAATTATACATTCTGGAGACCGTAGTTTTCCAAGGTCTTGAGCCTTCCATGCCAAACAATGCTGATTCACCAGCACACTACAAATCCCAGCAATACATAGCCAAGGCAATTAAATGTGAGATGAGCTCCTGAAGCAGCTTCCCATTTAACTTTCCATGGACCAGAAGCAGGAAAAGCAAACGGAGGAAATTCCTTCCTTCTCTGGTTTAAAACCGGCTTCTCTGGCTTGAGCCGAGTCCAGGGACCAGAAGCGAGGAAAAGAAAACGGAGGAAATTCCTTCCTTCTCTGGTTTAAAACTGGCTTCTCTGGCTTGAGCCGAGTCCAGGGACCAGAAGCAAGGAAAAGAAAACAGAGGAAATTCCTTCCTTTTCTGGTTTAAAACTGGCTTCTCTGGCTTGAGCCGAGTCCAGGGACCAGAAGCGGGGAAAAGCAAACGGAGGAAATTCCTTCCTTCTCTGGTTTAAAACCGGCTTCTCTGGCTTGAGCCGAGTCCAGGGACCAGAAGTGAGGAAAAGCAAACGGAGGAAATTCCTTCCTTCTCTGGTTTAAAACCGGCTTCTCTGGCTTGAGCCGAGTCCAGGGACCAGAAGCAGGAAAAGCAAACGGAGGAAATTCCTTCCTTTTCTGGTTTAAAACCGGCTTCTCTGGCTTGAGCCGAGGCCAGGGACCAGAAGCGGGGAAAAGCAAACGGAGGAAATTCCTTCCTTTTCTGGTTTAAAACCGGCTTCTCTGGCTTGAGCCGAGGCCAGGGACCAGAAGCGGGGAAAAGCAAACGGAGGAAATTCCTACTTTTCTGGTTTAAAACCGGCTTCTCTGGCTTGAGCCGAGTCCAGGGACCGGAAGCGAGGAAAAGCAAACGGAGGAAATTCCTTCCTTTTCTGGTTTAAAACTGGCTTCTCTGGCTTGAGCCGAGGCCAGGGACCAGAAGCGGGGAAAAGCAAACGGAGGAAATTCCTTCCTTTTCTGGTTTAAAACCGGCTTCTCTGGCTTGAGCCGAGTCCAGGGACCAGAAGCGAGGAAAAGCAAAACGGAGGAAATTCCTTCCTTCTCTGGTTTAAAACTGGCTTCTCTGGCTTGAGCCGAGTCCAGGGACCAGAAGCAAGGAAAAGAAAACAGAGGAAATTCCTTCCTTTTCTGGTTTAAAACTGGCTTCTCTGGCTTGAGCCGAGTCCAGGGACCAGAAGCGGGGAAAAGCAAACGGAGGAAATTCCTTCCTTTTCTGGTTTAAAACTGGCTTCTCTGGCTTGAGCCGAGTCCAGGGACCAGAAGCGGGGAAAAGCAAACGGAGGAAATTCCTTCCTTCTCTGGTTTAAAACCGGCTTCTCTGGCTTGAGCCGAGTCCAGGGACCAGAAGCGGGAAAAGCAAACGGAGGAAATTCCTTCCTTCTCTGGTTTAAAACCGGCTTCTCTGGCTTGAGCCGAGTCCAGGGACCAGAAGCGAGGAAAAGCAAACGGAGGAAATTCCTTCCTTTTCTGGTTTAAAACCGGCTTCTCTGGCTTGAGCCGAGTCCAGGGACCGGAAGCGAGGAAAAGCAAACGGAGGAAATTCCTTCCTTTTCTGGTTTAAAACTGGCTTCTCTGGCTTGAGCCGAGTCCAGGGACCAGAAGCGGGGAAAAGCAAACGGAGGAAATTCCTTCCTTCTCTGGTTTAAAACCGGCTTCTCTGGCTTGAGCCGAGTCCAGGGACCAGAAGCGAGGAAAAGCAAACGGAGGAAATTCCTTCCTTTTCTGGTTTAAAACTGGCTTCTCTGGCTTGAGCCGAGGCCAGGGACCAGAAGCGGGGAAAAGCAAACGGAGGAAATTCCTTCCTTTTCTGGTTTAAAACCGGCTTCTCTGGCTTGAGCCGAGTCCAGGGACCAGAAGCGAGGAAAAGCAAACGGAGGAAATTCCTTCCTTCTCTGGTTTAAAACTGGCTTCTCTGGCTTGAGCCGAGTCCAGGGACCATAAGTGGGGAAAAGCAAACGGAGGAAATTCCTTCCTTCTCTGGTTTAAAACGGGCTTCTCTGGCTTGAGCCGAGTCCAGGGACCAGAAGCGGGGAAAACACATGGAGGCAATTCCTTCCTTCTCTGGTTTAAAACCGGCTTCTCTGGCTTGAGCCGAGTCCAGGGACCAGAAGCGAGGAAAAGCAAACGGAGGAAATTCCTTCCTTCTCTGGTTTAAAACCGGCTTCTCTGGCTTTAGCCAAGTCCAGGGACCAGAAGCGAGGAAAAGAAAACAGAGGAAATTCCTTCCTTCTCTGGTTTAAACCCGGTTTCTCTGGCTTGAGCCGAGGCCGGGGACCAGAAGCGGGGAAAAGCAAACAGAGGAAATTCCTTCCTTCTCTGGTTTAAAACTGGCTTCTCTGGCTTGAGCTGAGGCCAGGAAATTTCTTCATTTTCTGGTTTAAAACTGGCTTCTCTGGTTTAAAACTGGCTTGCCTGGCTTGAGCCAAGGCCAGGGACCAGAAGCGGGGAAAAGCAAACGGAGGAAATTCCTTCCTTCTCTGGTTTAAAATTGGCTTCTCTGGCTTGAGCCGAGGCCAAGGACCAGAAGCAAGGAAAAGCAAATGGATGATATTCCTTCCTTCTCTGGTTTATAACTGGCTTCTCTGGCTTTAAAACTGGCTTCTCTGGCTTGAGCTAAGGCCAAGAAATTCTTTCCTTCTCTGGTTTAAAACTGGCTTCTCTGACTTTAAAACTGGCTTCTCTGGCTTGAGCTAAGGCCAGGGACCAGAAGCGGGAAAAAGCACATGAAGGAAATTCCTTCCTTCTCTGGTTTAAAAATGGCTTCTCTGGCTTGAGCCAAGGCCGGGGACCAGAAGCGAGGAAAAGCAAACGGAGGAAATTATTTCCTTCTCGGCTTTAAAACTGGCTTCTCTGGCTTGAGCCGAGGCCAGGACCAGAAGCGAGGAAAAGCAAGCGGAGTAAATTCTTTCCTTCTCTGGTTTAAAGCTGGCTTCTCTGGCTTGAGCCGAGGCCAGGGACCAGAAGCGGGGAAAAGCAAGCGAAGGAAATTCCTTCCTTCTCTGGTTTAAAACTGGCTTCTCTGGCTTGAGCCAAGGCCGGGGACCAGAAGCGAGGAAAAGCAAACGGAGGAAATTCCTTCCTTCTCTGGTTTAAAACTGGCTTCTCTGGCTTGAGCCGAGGCCAGGGACCAGAAGCGGGGAAAAGCAAACGGAGGAAATTCCTTCCTTCTCTGGTTTAAAACTGGCTTCTCTGGCTTGAGCCGAGGCCAGGGACCAGAAGCGAGGGAAAAGCAAACGGAGGAAATTCCTTCCTTCTCTGGTTTAAAACTGGCTTCTCTGGCTTGAGCCGAGGCCAGGGACCAGAAGCGGGGAAAAGCAAACGGAGGAAATTCCTTCCTTCTCTGGCTTAAAACTGGCTTCTCTGGCTTGAGCCAAGGCCGGGGACCAGAAGCGGGGAAAAGCAAACGGAGGAAATTCCTTCCTTCTCTGGCTTAAAACTGGCTTCTCTGGCTTGAGCCGAGGGCAGGGACCAGAAGCGGGGAAAAGCAAACGGAGGAAATTCCTTCCTTCTCTGGTTTAAAAATGGCTTCTCTGGCGGAAATGGTGGAAAACATTTCAGAAGGGCAAAGGAACTTCAGGTTTCCTTTAAAACTCCAAAATTGCTTCAAAAAGGTCATTTTTCCAATTTTATTCCGAATTACCAAGATTCCGATGGTACCTAACCATGCCTAATAGTTATATCTATAGTTATATAATATATTTACCTTATAAATTATAGTAAATACAGTACCTTCGTTTGCAGGTGGTGGGGCCATCCGAGGCGAATGCTGCCCGGTGGCAAAGGCCTGTGGCGGGGCTTGCTTTTGCAAAGAACGCAGGAGAAGCGGGGACCCCGTCGGTGTTGGCCCCAGAGGGAACTTCTTCCCCGTGTTGCCGTATTCCCAGAAGGCGTTCTGCAGCCGGAAGATCATGGAGAGCGGGAGGGGCTTGTGGCGCTGGGGGAGCCCAGGCGGGGGTCCCGGGGGCGGCATGGGGATGCGCGAGACCGGCTGCCAGTTGCGTGGCAACGTCCCGGCGGGGTTGGCCGGCAGAGAGCGGCGGAAGGAAGAGGGGGCCTCCGGGTGCCGCTCGGACGCAGGGGGAAAGACCTTGTAGTTGCGCGGCAAAGTAGCGCTGTGCGTCCCAAAGGGACCCTCCTGCGGGAGAAGAAGGAGCAGAGGGAGAAATCATATCCATGAGTCCTAAACTCTACAGTTCTCCCCGAAGTCTCCAAAGGCTTGAGCAACACTGTGTAACAAAGAATGAAAAAGCTTGAAAGTGTTATTTCTTGTTTATTATTATTATTGGTCTATATTATATTATTAGTAGTATTAGTACAGGGATATATTATTATTATTATTATCATTATTATTGGGATATTATTATTATTTTATATTACATTAGCATTAGTAAAGGGATATATTATTATTATCATTATTATTGGGATATTAGTATTAGGATATATTATTATTATTGAGATATTATTATAATTTTATATTACATTAGCATTACTACAGGGATATATTATTATTATTATCATTATTATTGGGATGTTAGTATTAGGATATATTATTATTATTATTATTATTATTGAGATATTATTATAATTTTATATTACATTAGCATTGTTGTTCATTCGTTCAGTCGTCTCCGACTCTTCGTGACCTCATGGACCAGCCCACGCCAGAGCTCCCTGTCGGCCGTCACCACCCCCAGGGTCTCCTTCAAGGTCAGTCCGGTCACTTCAAGGATGCCATCCATCCATCTTGCCCTTGGTCGGCCCCTCTTCCTTTTGCCTTCCACTTTCCCCAGCATCATTGTCTTCTCTAGGCTTGGCTGTCTCCTCATGATGTGGCCAAAGTACTTCAACTTTGTCTCTAGTATCTTTCCCTCCAATGAGCAGCCGGGCTTTCTTTCCTGGAGGATGGACTGGTTGGATCTTCTCGCAGTCCAAGGCACTCTCAGAACTTTCCTCCAACACCACAGCTCAAAAGCATCTCTCTTCCTTGGCTCAGCCTTCCCGAAGGTCCAGCTCTCACATCCGTAGGTGACTACAGGGAATACCATGGCTTTGACGAGGCAATGGATCTTGGTTGCCAGTCTGATGTCTCTACTCTTCACTGATGTCTCTACTACTCTTGACTATTTTATCGAGACTGGACCTTGCTCTCCTCCCAAGAAGGAAGCGTCTTCTGATTTCCTGGCCACAGTCTGCATCTGCACTCATCTTTGCACCTAGAAATACAAACCCTGTCACGGCCTCCACGTTTTCTCCCTCTATTTTCCAGTTGTCAATCATTCTTGTTGCCATAATCTTGGTTTTTTTGACGTTTAGCTGCAACCCGGCTTTTGCGCTTTCTTCTCTCACCTTGATTAGGGTTACATTAGCATTAGTACTGGGATATATTATTATTTTTATTGTTATTGGGATGTTAGTATTAGGATATATTAATATTATTATTTGGATGTTAGTATTAGGATATATTAATATTATTATTTGGATGTTAGTATTAGGATATATTATTTTTATTATTACTGGGATATTGTTATTATTTTATATTACATTAGCACTAGTACTAGGATATATTAGTACTATTATTATTATTGGGATATTATTATTTTATATTAATTAGCATTAGTACTGGGATATATAATTATTACTATTATTAGGATGTTAGTGTTAGGATATATTATTATTATTATTATTATTATTATTATTATTGGGATATTATTAGTACGAGTATTAGAATAAATTATTATTATTATTATTGGGATGTTATTATTGGTATTAGTAGTGAGACATTATTATTATTATTATTATTATTATTATTATTATTATTATTATTGGGATGTTATTATTGGTATTAGTATTGAGATGATATTATTATTATTATTATTATTATTATTATTATTATTATTGAGATGTTATTATTGGTATTAGTATTGCAATATATTATTATTACTAGTAGTAGTAGTATTGGGATGTTATTACTAGTATTAGTATTGGGATATATTATTATTATTGATTTATATTATATTATCAGTAGTATTGTTTCTGGGATATATTATTATTATTATTATTATTATTATTATTGGGATGTTATTATTATTATTAGGATGTTATTATTACTATTAGTATTGGGGGAAATTATTATAATTAGGCCATTATTATTAGTATAAGTATTGAGATATATTATTGTTGTTGGGATGTTATTATTAATATTTGGCTATATTATTATTATTTGACTATATTATATTATTAGTAGTATTCGCTCTGGAATATCTTATAATTATTATCATTATCATTATTATCATCACCACCATCATCATCATCATTGGGATGTTATTAGTATTACTGTTAGGATGTTATTATTACTACTAGTATTGGGGAAAATTATTATAATAATTAGGCCGTTATTATTAGTATTAGTACTGAGATATATTATTATTATTGGGATGTTATTATTAGTATTTGGCTATATTATTATTATTTGACTATATTATATTATTAGTAGTATTCGTTCTGGAATATATTATAATAATTATTATTATTATCGTCATCAATACTGGGATGTTATTAGTATTACTGTTAGGATGTTACATGCACTGGTCACATCCCGCCTTGACTACTGCAACGCTCTCTACGTGGGGCTGCCCTTGAAGATGGCCCGGAAGCTTCAGCTAGTCCAGCGCGCGGCAGCCATGTTACTAACGGGAGCGGGACGCAGGGAGCATACAACGCCCTTGTTGTCCCAGCTCCACTGGCTGCCAATTTGCTACCGGGCCCAATTTAAGGTGCTGGTGTTATCCTACAAAGCCCTAAACGGTTCCGGCCCAAAATACCTCTCGGACCGCATCTTGGCCTATGAGCCCACGAGGACCTTGAGATCGTCTGGGGAGGCCCTTCTCTCGATTCCGCCTGCCTCACAGGCGCGTTTGGCGGGGACGAGAGAGAGGGCCTTCTCAGTGGTGGCCCCCCGGCTGTGGAATGCCCTCCCTGCTGACATCAGACAGGCGCCCTCTCTCATGGCTTTCCGTAAGAGCCTAAAGACCTGGCTCTTCGAGAGGGCATTTAACTAAGTGCCAGGCTAACTGATAATGACAATCGGAACGAAATATGGATTATGAGACTGGTAGGTCCCTATGTTGTGACGGTGCGGATTAGTTAGTATAATTTAGATTAATGTGTAATTATGGCTTGTTGATATACTATGTGTTTTTGTAAACTGTTTTTATATGTTGTACACCGCCGCGAGTCGCCCTAGGGCTGAGAGCGGCGGTCAACAAATGCATTAAATAAATAAAAAAATAAATAAATTATTATTACTAATAGTACTGGGGAAAAGATTATAATTATTAGGTTGTTATTATTACTATTAGTATTGGGATAAACATTCAATGCTGTAAACAAACCATAAATCAAATCATAACACATTAGACATCATCAACATCAAATAACAATGAAACATTACAACAAATTGGGCATCACACCACTAAAAATGTCATGTTTAGATGAAACAATATTTCTTGCAGAGTGGCATAGGTAAATTCAAAGATTCCAAGCAAATCCAAAACGGTTCCTAGTCCTAGTCCAAAGCATCTCACATAATCAAAGCTCAAACAAAGGAAGCGAAGATCACCCCATTCCTTTCTGGAGTGTTTTTGAGGTCCGTTTTCCCATTCAGACAAATAGAGAATGTGCCGTCGCGCCTGGGGGCTAAAGCTCTTAGTGAAAGAGGGACGTGACATCTTTCCCCAGGGGATTGCTTCTTGCCCTCCTTTAGGAAACTGGAACTCCCAAAGACCCCAAAACACTGTAAATAACTCAAAATAGGTTTTATGTTCACAAAGAGTTATCCCTTTAAGGCAATAAGCTGGAAGTTTCAAAGGGGTGAAGGAAAATATACGTTACAGTCTCAGTTAGTCCTGAGTCCAAGATGTTTGAAGCTGAGAAGCCTCACCAAGTTTCCTCTTTCCTCAATGGCTGTGAATGCCGGAGCAAACCACAACCTCAGTTCAAATGGCCTATGTCTGAAGACTCAGGATCTTCCTCTGGTGCCAAAAGAACCGGTTTGAAGGCGCTTGAGACTTCCAACGTCGTTCAGGTTGGTCTGAACATGAAGCACAAGTCTCAAGGGTAAAAAACCTCAGAATTGGTGCTGAGAGGTAATTTAATCAGGGGCTTTTAGAGCCAAGTCTCTTACGTCCATCTGATAGACACTCTGATGGCAGAATGAGAGAAGGGAAGCACTCCCCTCCTCCAGGAAGAAGTGGAGCCAAACAATTGAGCTTGAGAAAGCAATTCAACTGGAGCAAACAACCCTGATTGACAGCTATCAATAACCAATCAATCCAACTATACATAAGCGGGTAAAAAGGCAGGATTAAGCATGATACAACAGTTTAAATCTAGCAACTAACAGTTCTACACATAGGTGGCGCCACTCGTGCCATCACAGAGAACCCGCACATGAGGACGGCAGCACTGCAACTCCCAGCTCACCTTGCTTGGTCCGATGCTCCCGTCCAAACTCGATTCCCGCCAAGGAGCGAGCGAGTTGTTTTGGCGGAGTCCAAGGTGAGCATCGCCTCCTGCAAGGAAACAAAATCCTTGATGAAATGGGACTATTCGATTGCATATTTTGGCCCCCATCCAAGCCCATAGCCAAGGGGGCAGCTTAAGGGTTCAAACCATCCCTGAAAAATTTCAGGTCAAAAAAAGAAAACCTAGTTAACTCATGAATGTTAACTGCTTAATTCCAAATCCCCACGCCAAATATATGAGAAGCAAAAATTAGAGTCCCTTCAGAACTGCAAGTACGATCAAAATCAGTGTTTCTCAACCTTCCGAATGCCGTGACCCCTTCCTACTGTTCCTCGTGTTGTGTTGACCCCCAAACATAACATTACTTTCATTGCTACTTTATATTGTTATCAATCATCATGTAAATATCCACTATGCAGGATGTATTTACATTCGATGGACCACATTTCACTGGATTCAAATTTGGGAGTATGGGGTAAAAATGCAAGCAGTTTATTGAAGATACTTAAAAAGCAGTAGCAGTAAAACAAACACTCCACAAAATAGGGTTACAAAGAGTGAATTGTACTGTGCTTAATTTAAGCCAACCAACCGATTTCCCATGGTCGCACCACAACCCCACTGAAATACCCCATATACCCAAATTTGAATACTGGTGGGATTGATTTTGTCATTTGGGAGCTGTAGTTGCTGGGATTTATAGTTCACCTACAATCAAAGAGCATTCTGAACTCCACCAATGATGGAATTGAACCAAACTTGGCACACAGTACTCCCGTGACCAACAGAAAATACTGGAAGGGTTTGGTGGGCATTGACCTTGAGTTTGGGATTGTAGTTCACCTACATCCAGAGATGTCCCTGTGGACACAAACAATGATGGATCCGGACCAAACTTGGCATGAATACTCAATATGCCCAAATGTGAACACTGGTGGACTTTGGGGGAAATAGACCTTGACATTTGGGAGCTGTAGTTGCTGGCATATGGCGTATTCGTGCCAAATTTAGTCCAGATCCATCATGGTTTGAGTCCACAGTGCTCTCTGGATGTAAGTGAACTACAACTCCCAAACTCAAGATCAATGCCCACCAAACCCAGTATTTTCTGTTGGTTGTGGGAATTCTGTGTGCCAAGTTTGGTTCAATTCCATCCTTGGTGGAGTTCAGAATGCTCTTTGATTGTAGGTGAACTATAAATCCCAGCAACTACAACTCCCAAATGACAAAATCAATGCCTCCCCAATCCCATCAGTATTCAAATGTGGACATATTGTGTATTTGTGCCAAATTCAGTCCACTGAATGAAAATACATCCTGCAGATTAGATAGTTACATTACGATTCATAACAGTAGCAAAATCACAGTTATGAAGTAGCAACGAAGATAATGTTATGGTTGGGGGTCACCACCACATGAGGCACTGCATTAAGGGGTTGCGGCATTAGGAAGGTTGAGAAACACTGGGCTAAACTGGGCATTGGATGACTGGGTTACACGCACTGAACGATCCGCAACAACACCGACCTCAAAAGCCATCTTGGGGTGGGGGTGGGGGTGGGGGGAGGAATCTGAACCCCTCCCAAATATTTTTTCCTGGCTACGGGCCTGTCCCCATCTGTCCCCAAACTGTTCCAAGACTTACGGTCATAACCAACTGAGTGGCCGGACTTCTTCTCGTAGGCCACGTCCAGGTCGGATTCGTTCCAGCTTTTGGCCCCCCTCCGACGGAGCACCAGGTCATCTGTGGACAAGGAGCAAGAAGCCATGAAGAAAACATTTTTGGGGTGCGCCCCTCTTCGCCATTGAAGTTGGTGCCAATAAAAGGATGCCACAAGCAAGAGGGAGCAGGATTGTTTTCTGCTACCCTGGAAACTAGGACTCAATGGAGCCATGAGATATGAGGGTCGAATGAAAAGTAATGCCTCCACCTTCGTTACTTGGGTTAGGATGGGAATATTTGAATAAATCAAACGCAGAAATAATCTGATGAACCAACCTGGACATAGCATATTATCTGAGAACACAGAAATGCTGGACCACTCTCACAACCACCACGTCAGACTACACAGAGAAGCCATTGAAATCCACAAGAACCACGTGGACAATTTCAACAGAAAGGAGGAAACAATGAAAATGAACAAAATCTGGCTACCAGTATTTAAAAACTCTAAAATTACAACAGCAAAACAACAGAGAGGAAACAATCAGGGACATCTAATCACCTCTCAACAAAAGATTGCCCCAGGCACTGCCAGGCCATCAAATGCTAATGAAGGTGGTCAGTTGAAACATTCACACCTAGCTCCAGCAGACAAGAGTCCTTTGTCCCACCCTGGTCATTCCACAGATATATAAACCCTTTTTCCTAGTTCCAACAGACCTCACTACCTCTGAGGATGCTTGCCATAGATGCAGGCGGAACGTCAGGAGAGAATGCCTCTAGAACATGGCCATATAGCCCGAAAAAACCTACAACAACCCAGTGATTCTGGCCATGAAAGCCTTTGACAATACGCAGAAATAATCCTTTGAATGTGCTCTTTAACTACCACAATTCACTTTCCCACACAATCACCAGACAATTGGATACATTTCTGCCAACGATGAATAAGTGTTCTGAAGCCGTTGCAGAAGAAGTCAACACTGTGTTTCTGCAACCAGAGTCTCAGAGTTCTCTCAACATCTTCATCAGAAGCAGAATGATGTCCCCGCAGACCTTATTTCATGATCGGGAACAGATGGAAGTCAGACGGTGCTAAATCTGGACTGAATGGAGGATGTCGTATGGTGGTGAGATCTAGTCTCTGAAGTTCTGCTGTGGTGTGCTTCATTTCAGGCGACAAAGAAGGACCTTCTTGCGGCAACACCAAAGGCACTCCAAGGGACCAGATACTGGTCAAAGGACATTTAATCAACTACCAAGCTTGCAAACTTTGTGTTTTGTTTGTTTGTTTATTTGTTAAAAATGCAATACAACTGTTTGGTTCGCTCCTGACACGATAAATAAATAAATTTCAGGCATCAGCATCCTGGGTACCCATTGTGCACAGATCTTCCAATAGCCAAGCAAAGCAATAATGTGATCCACATTATGTTCTTGTGCTCTTTTTCTCTCTGAGTGATACGAATCAATCCGTCAACATTTTGCTTATGAAACTGAGTGGTTGCTGTCACAGGACGTCCAACTCTTTGTTTGTCATGAAAGTCAGATATTCCCACCTCAACATCTTTAAACTTACTCGCCCAACGACACACAGTACTCACATCAACACAATCACCATAAACAGCTTGCATTCTCTGGTGAATCACTTTTGGGGTGACACCTTCTGCTGTCAAGAATTCAATGACTGTACGTAGCTTAAGTCGCATTGACCGACCGTCTGCACAGGGTTCCATACTTTGCACTTTAACAACACAACCGTTCAAGGCTAAGGCTTCCCACCAAACTGGAACTGTAGGGGAGAGTCTACTAAACAAACCAGTACCTGCCACATATGTTGCTTAAGTCACATTGACTGACCGTCTGCGCAGGGTTCCATACTTTGCACTTTAACAACACAACCATTCAATGCTAAGACTTCCTGCCAAAATGGAACTGTAGAGGAGAGTCTACTGAACAAGCCAGTACCTGCCGCATACATTGCTTAAGTCGCATTGACTGACCGTCTGCGCAGGGTTCCATACTTTGCACTGTAACAACACAACCGTTCAATGCTAAGACTTCCTGCCAAAATGGAACTGTAGAGGAGAGTCTACTGAACAAGCCAGTACCTGCCACATATGTTGCTTAAGTCGCATTGACTGACCGTCTGCACAAGGTTCCATACTTTGCACATTAACAACACAACAATTCAAACTTTGCACTTTAACAACACAACAATTCAATGCTAAGGCTTCCCACCAAAATGGAACTGTAGAGGAGAGTCTACTGAACAAGCCAGTACCTGCCGTATACGTTGCTTAAGTTGCATTGACCGACCATCTGCGCAGGGTTCCATACTTTGCACTTTAACAACACAACAATTCAATGCTAAGGTTTCCTGCCAAAATGCAAGTGTAGAGGAGAGTCTACTGAACAAGCCAGTACCTGCCGCATACGTTGCTTAAGTTGCATTGACCGACCGTCTGCACAGGGTTCCATACTTCGCACTTTAACAACACAACAATTCTATGCTAAGGCTTCCCACCAAAATGGAACTGTAGAGGAAAGTCTACTGAACAAGCCAGTACCTGCCTCATACCAGTACTGCCATCTATTGAGGAGTTACAAAGGTGGAGGCATTACTTTTCATTCAACCCTCGTATAATGTGCATCTGGATTTTGGAATGGCCATTTCATCTCAAAATGGTGAGCATTAGACTCGAGTAAGTAGGGGTATGTTCTCCTGAAGCATCTTCCCCTTTGGCTTTGGCTCAGGTTATTGTATTACACAGAAATAATAAGAACCCGAATTGTGCTGTCGCACGTTGGGCCTGTGCATAAGACTGTAGACAGGACATACATTCTGTGTGCCCAATGGGACGCCGGGGCTGCCTCAGATTAAAGGCCCTTGGATTTCCTTAAAACAGAGTCTCTAGATTGCTCAAAGGTTCAACAAAGTTCTTTATTAATGAAAACAAACAGGTATTTCAAGGCTTTCTTAACAGTCTATTGGCTCTCTCTCAATCTTGTCCACAGGGAACAGGCACTAGCTTCATAAAAGGTATTTTAAGTAATAGGGAAATCCTTAGCTTCCAATCTGGGCAGTCTGTCTTTGCCTCTGTTGGCGTGGAGCCCCTGCACCCGGTACCAACTGCTTCTGGCTTCTGCGAGTGACCCTTACCAAGCAGAGCTTTGTAGACTTCCAGGGGAAAAGGAGTTCAGGTTTCGGTGATGGCTGGCTGAAGTCCTTCAGCAAAGAAGCTGTAGGGCTGTATAACCCTGGCCAAGCTGTGGGCTGTATATCTCCCCGGCCAAGCCATAGAAGACGAAGCTTTCTACAGGAGCTCTTGGTATTATGTCCTGCATGAAAGGCTTCTCCGTGTGGACTGAACCCAAAATGGCTCCTATTCCCTCCAAAAACCCAAAAGGGACGGGACCAGGGAACCTAACTATAATTGACAGGTGGCTTGCCCTATGATTGCAGCCAAAAGAAGCCACCTATCTGCAGAGTCCCTGCAACTTAGGACTACAGCAAACATTCAATGCAAAGCAAACAAAATTGGAGCTCCTGGTACAGCTGTACCTGCACACGAATTTTGGCAAAGTCATTTAATTCCAAAAGGTGAGCATTCGACTCGAGTAAATAGGGGTACACTCTACTACATAAATGGACGTTACCTTGAGCCCGGAAAGGTGCAAAGTTGCTGGGTGCCGAAGGGTACAGGTTGTGGTTTTCATACGGCGGCGGCAGAGGGGGCCTCGGGGAGGGGACCCGGTCCGGGAAGAAGGCTTGCGGGGCTCCCGACGCTTCCCCTGCCGGTGTCCGTGGAGAGCCCTCCCGCCCCAAGGAACCGTAGGGCTTGTAGTCGTACTGCCGCTCGGAGGGTCCGCCCGGGCGGAGGGAGCGTGGGGACGAGGCATGGGCCGCCAATTCGTACGGGACGGGCATCACTTTGGGCCTCGAGGGGGGAGTGGCCGGAGGGAGCGGGCTGCGGTCCAGCTCCGGCTGCAGGAAGAAGGACGGCCGCGGCGAGATGGGGCGGCCCAAGGAAGACTTGTTGGATGCAGAGCCGTAGAAAGGAGCGCTTTGTGGACCCTCGCCGGCAAAGGCGAACGGGATGTAGCCGCTGCTTTCGGTGGCCTCCCACGAAGCGCTTTTCCGGGGAGAAGACGGCAGCGAGGAGGATGCCTTCACCAAGACGTCCTGGGACGGGACGCTGCCGAGGCTGTAACGCTCCTTCGCCTGCAAAGAGGAGACAACAGAGCCATGTTTAGTATTCTGTCGCCGTTGGACCTGAAACGAAGTGCCTTTAAGAGAGGATGTATGGCTTGGATCCAGCGGGAAGCCAGGGGGCCCGAAAAGAAGCCTTTAGAGAAATTTCCCTTATTAAATAGTCTTTATGAGGCTTGGACTTAAATATAACAGTCTTTTATTGATGAACAAAACAGGAATTGTAAAGCTTTCTTAACAGTCTCTTGGTTCTTGCAATCTTGTTCACAGGGAACAGGCACTATCTTCAAAAAACCTTGTTTAAAGGAAAATTCCCCTTTCTAGCTCCTCCCAGGCTGCTGTGAACCTAAACTTTATTGATATGGATTCACTACCGGGGTAAACTGCGTCTCAACGCTGAGCGAACCTATCAAAAAGCTTTTAAGCTGCTTTGATGATTAGAGCTGTTATTCCCTCCGGAATTCCTCAGGGCTGTAAGGCTGTTTCCCCGGAACCTTTGGGGATCTTTAGAGGCTCTCAAGACTGTTCTCCCCTGGAAAGTCTTAAGGGACGAAGCCTTTGTACAGGAGGACGTCCGTATACATCCTCTGCATTGACTTCCTTTGCTGAGACTAACTGAAAAATGGCCCCTTCCTTCCAAAAAACCCAGAGAGGGGCGGGACCAGGGATCCTAACTATAATAGATAGGTGGCTTGCCCTATGATTGCAAACTATAACAGGAAGCCACCCTGCTGCAAAATCCCAAGCCTGGGATTGCAAACCAACATTTAGTTCAAAGCAAATAAAATTGGAGCTCCTGGAACAGCTGTTCCAGAACATTTAGATAGATATCACTGTGCAATTAAAACATTTTCCGTTCCTGGTTTGAAAGTCTTATTGTTGGAGTTCGGCCTGTGATTGTGACTAATGATCAGGGTACTCTGGGTGTTGGGAACGACAATGAGCTCCATGTGTCTAATGATGTTTCTAATGATGTGGTTGCTCTAGATACAGAGAATGACAATGAGATTCCTGTTCAAAGTGATTTTTCTGATGGGAATGTTCCTGAAGGGTTTAGGGATGATGGTCTGTTCCCTGGGCCTGATTTGCTACGAGACAATTGCCAAGGCTTTGAGCCCGAGAAAAGCTTGGCACCTGGGCCAGCTGCAGAAATTAACGAGCCAGTAGATAGGAGAAATGCTTTCAGTCGGCAAAGAAAAACAAACCAAGCTCTCAGGCACTCTGCCAGACTGAAAGAGAGATTGATAACAGAGTCAAGGCTGAAACGAAATCTGTTCCTGGCCACTTGGGATATAGAGTAGATTAGGGGATAAAAGTGCCAAGTACAGACTTTGTAGCCAGACGAAGCAATGTTGGAATTCAGTCAATACTTCTTCCCAGGTCCCTTTCAACTCAATGAGGGTAAAATAGATAGCATCAGAAAGCAGTGGACTCTCAGTCTTTGGAGGTCTTTAAACAGAGGCTGGAAGGTCTTTTTTTAGAATGTGTGTCTTCCTGCCTGGCAGAATGGGTTGGACTAGATGGCCTTTTCTGGCCCAAACCCAATGATTGTAAATATATAGCCTCAGAGGGCAATGGACTCTCCTCCTTTAGATGCCTCTAAACAGAGGTAGGATGACATTTGTGTTTTCTTGCCTGCAGAATGGGTTGGACTAGATTGCTTTTGGGGGTCCCTTCCAACTCAATGATAGTAAAATAGCCTCAGAGGGCAGTGGACTCTACTTCTTTGGATGTCTTTAAACAGAAGTTGGGTGGACACCTTTTGGAATGTGTGCCTTCCTGCTGGGCAAGATGGGGTTGGACTAGATGACCTTTGGGGTGCCCTTCCAGCTTTAAGAATCTTGTTTTGGAGAGAGAATTCCCAAGGCTTTGAGCCTGAGAAACGCTTGGCACCTGGGCCAGCTGCAGAAATTAATGAGCCAGTAGATAGGAGAAATGCTTTCAGTCAGGAAAGAAAAACAAACCAAGCTCTCAGGCACTCTGCCAGACTGAAAGAGAAATTGATAACAGAGTCAAGGCTGAAACGAAATCTGTTCCTGGCCGCTTGGGAAATAGGGTAGATTAGGGCAGTGGTTCTCAAACCTCCTAATGCCGTGACCCCTTAATACAGTTCCTCATGTTGTGGTGACCCCCAACCATAAAATTATTTTCGTTGCTACTTCATAACCGTAATTTTGCTACTGGGTTGTTGTAGGTTTTTTCGGGCGATATGGCCTGGCCATGTTCTAGAGAAGCGGTTCTCAACCTGGGGGTCGCGACCCCCCGGGGGGTCGTTTGACCATTTCGGAGGGGTCGCGAGGCCGCCTCCTTAGGCCCCGCCCACAAGGCTGCGAGGCAGCCGAGGGCTCCTTCGCGGCCTCGCCATTTCCCCAAACTCTACCAGTGTTCACATTTGGGCAGATTGAGTATTCTTGCCAGGTTTGGTCCAGATCCATCATTGTTTGAGTCCACAGTGCTCTCCTGATGTAGGTGAGCTACAGCTCCAAAACTCAAGGTCAATGTCTACCAAACCCTTCCAGTATTTTCTGTTGGTCAGGGGAGTTCTGTGTGCCAAATCTGTTTCAATTACATCGTTGGTGGAGTTTAGAATGCTCTTTGATTGTAGGTTAACGATAAATCCCAACAACGATACCACTGAGCTGCTGAGCTCGTTGACCGAAAGGGCGCAGGTTCAAATCCAGGAAACGGCATGAGCTTCCACTGTCAGCCCTAGCTTCTGCCAACTTAGCAGTTCAAAAACATGCAAATGTGAGTAGATCAATAGGTACTGCTCTGGTGGGAAAGTAACGGTGCTCCTTGCAGTTATGCTGGCCACATGCCCTTGGAGGTGTCTACGGACAACGCTGGCTCTTCGGCTTAGAAATGGAGATGAGCACCACACCCAAGTCAGACATGACTGGACATAATGTCAGGGGGAAATCCTTACCTACAACTCCCATATGACAAAACTAATCCCCCCCAACCCCACCAGTATTCAAATTTGGGTGTATCGGGTAATTGTGCCAAATTTGGTTGGGGGGTCACCGCCACATGGGGAACTGCATTAAGGGGTCACGGCATTAGGAAGGTTGAGAATCACTGTTCTAGAGGCATTCTCTCCTGACGTTTCGCCTGCATCTATGGCAAGCATCCTCAGAGGTAGTGAGGTTCCAAACCTACAACAACCCAGTGATTCCGGCCATGAAAGCCTTCGACAATACAATTTTGCTACTGTTATGAATCATGATGTAAATATCCGATATGCAGGATGTATTTATATTCACTGGACCAAATTTGGCACAAATACCCAATATGCCCAAATTTGAATATTGGTTGATTGGGGGGGGGGGGAGGAATTGATCTTGTCATTTGAGAGTTGTAGTTGCTGGGATTTATAGTTCACCTACAATCAAAGAGCATTCTGAGCTCCACCAACGATGGAATTGAACCAAACTTGGCACACAGACCTCCCATGACCAACAGAAAATATTGGAAGGGTTTGGTGGGCATTGATTTTGAGTTTTGGAGTTGTAATTCACCTATGTCCAGAGAGCACTGTAGCTCAAACAATGAAGGATCTGGACCAAACTTGGCATGGATACTCAACATGCCCAAATGTGAACACTGGTGGAGTTTGGGGGAAAATAGACCTTGACATTTGGGGGTTGTAGTCACTGAGATATATAGTTCACCTACAATCGAAGAGCATTCTGAACCCCACCAATGATAGAATTGGGCCAAACTTCCCACACAGAACCCCCATGACTAACAGAAAATACTGTTTTCAGATGGTCTTTGGTGATCCCTCTGACACCCCCTCATGACTCCTCCAGGGGTCCCGACCCCCAGGTTGAGAAATGCTGGATTAGGGGATAAAAGTGCCAAGTATAGAATCTGTAGCCAGATGAAGCAATGTTGGAATTGAGTCAAGACTTCTTCCCAGGTCCCTTTCAACTCAATGAGAGTAAAATAGATAGCACCAGAAAGCAGTGGACTCTCAGTCTTTGGAGGTCTTTAAACAGAGGTTGGAAGGACTTTTTTTGGAATTTGTGCCTTCCTACCTGGCAGAATGGGTTGGACTAGATGGCCTTTGGGGGTCCCTTCCAACTCAATGATTGTAAATATATAACCTCACAGGGCAGTGGACTCTCCCTCTTTGGGTGTCTTTAAACAGAAGTTGGGTGGACACCTTTTGGAATATGTGCCTTCCTGCTGGGCAGGATGGGGTTGGACTAGATGACCTTTGGGGTGCCCTTCCAGCTCTAAGAGTCTTGTTTTGGAGAGAGACTTTTCTGACCTGTTCTGGCCATCATACCTTGGCTGAAGTGGCGGCGGGGCTGGTGTTGTCCGTCCAGAGAGACTGCAGCTGCTTCGAGAGCTCGTCCACTTTGGCCGCCGCTGTGTCCACCTCCCGTTGCTTCAGGTCCATGTGCCTTGAAGCCAGAGCTGAGACAAAAGGAAAGAGATGAGGCTCAAAGTGTGCATCTACACTGCAGAGTTGATGCAGTTCGATGCCACTTTAACTGCCTTGGCTCAATGCTATGGAATCATTGAAATTTGTAGTCTGGTGAATCACCAGCATTCTTTAGCTGTGGAACTACAACTCCCGTGATTCCACAACATTGAGCCATGGCAGTTGAAGTAACGTCGAACTACGTTAATTCTGCAGTATAGATGCATCCCAAGAGTGCTGCCTTTTGTTGTCCTTTTAGGATCTCTTCTATATGGGAGTTGTGTGTAACCATCACAACTCCGTGCTAGATAATGTTGGGATTTGTAGTTTGGGGAGAAGGCTTCCCATATTCTGGCGCATGGAATAAACACTAAATTCTTACCATTATTCTGGTGTGTGGAATAAAAAACCCAACCCAAACCATTTGAAACAATCTATTGCAGTAACACATATACACATAGTATGTTGAAAAGGCATATCTATGGATGGATGACCATCTGTTAGTAGGGATTGAATGGTGTCCTGCCTGGCAGAAGCAGGTTGGATTGGATACCATTTGGAGGTCCTTTCCAGCTTTTGGATTCTATTATAGACATATCACAGAATATAGTCTATCAATCATATATATATATATGGCTGGATGGCCATCTGTTGGGAGGGATTGAATGGTGTCTTCCTGCCTGGCAGAAGCAGGCTGGGTTGGATGGCCTTTGGAGCTCCCTTCCAACTCTAGAATTATGTTACAGACATATCACGGAATATAGTCTATCAAACATAGATAGATAGATAGATAGATAGATAGATAGATAGCCATCTGTTGGGAGGAATTGAATGGTGTCTTCCTGCCTACAGAAGCAGGTTGGGTTGGATGGCCTTTAGAGGTCTCTTCCAATTGCACTTTGAATCCGCTTTAACTGCATGGCTCGTTTTTCTATGGAATCTGGGAGTTGTAGTTTGCTGAAGGCTAAAGATATGGTATAACAATGGCATGGCAGTTCCAAGTGGTGTTAAACTGCATCGGTTGCACAGTGTAGATGTGCCATAAGTTTGGGGTGATTCTGCAGAATCCTCCGTCAGCCTGTTATTGTTTTGTCTCACGTCCAGAGGAAGGCAATGCTGCTGCCTGTGTAAGATGCCCCAGGGCTATTTGACATTCCTGTGGCTTACCTGGCCCATTCCTTTATGCTGCGCTGCGTCTCCCAGAGGGGCAGATTACATAATGGGGCCTTCAAAGCCACATAGAGTTGTGGTGCACTGTAGATCCCTGAGCAAGCGCTGGATCCCCAAGGTATATGGCAAGGAAATAGAGAATCATCCAATCCTGGAGTTGGAAGAGACCTCTAAAGGCCATTCCAACCCGCTTCCAGCAGGCAGGAAGACTCCATTCAATCCCTCCCGACAGATGGCCACATGAATCTCTGAAACGAGCCACTCCTGGTCCTGCAAATCCAGACCCGGACCCGATCCCCATTTGAAGTAGACCCTATATAACTAAATGGGACCCCTCTGACTCGTTACGAAACGAAACAGGGGCCACCCAAATCTCTGAAACGAGCCACCTCTGGTCCTGCAAATCCAGACCCAATCCCCATTTGAAGCAGACCCCATAAAAACAATGGGACGACCCGGAATGTGACCCCGAAGCAAGCATAAGGGAACAATTCTGAAACAATTACGAATTCAGAAATTCAGGTTACGAAACTAACGGGATCCCTCCGACTCTTTAAGAAACGAAATGGGGAGCCAACCGAATCTCCGAAACAATCCACCGCTGGTCCGGCAAATCTGGACCCGGACCGAATCCCTATTTGAAGCAGACCCCATAAAAAACAATGTGACCCCAAATAAGCAAAAGGGAACAATTACAAAGCTTCGGAAATGCAGGTTACGAAACTAAACGGGATCCCTCCGACTCTTTACGAAACGTAACAGGGGTCACACCAATATCCGAAACGGGCTATCTCTAGTCTTGCAAATCTGGACCAGACCCGATCCTCATTTCAAGCAGACCCCATAAAAAACAATGGGACGATCCTGAATGTTACCCCGAAACAAGCAAAAGGGAACCATTACGAAACTATTGTGAAGCTTTGCAGATGCGGGTTATGAAACTAAACAGGATCCCTCCGACTCTTTACAAAACGAAATGGGGGGGGGGGCACCCAAATCTCCAAAACAAGCCACCCCTGGTCCTGAAAATCCGGGCCCGGACCGAATCCCTATTTGAAGCAGATCCCATAAAAAACAATGGGACGACCCTGAATGTGACCCCAAAACAAGCAAAAGGGAACAATTCTGAAACAATTACGAAGCTTTGGAAATGCAGGTTATGGAACTAAATGGGATCCCTCCGACTGAGTCTCCAAAAGGAGCCATCTCTAGTCTTGCCAATCCGGACCCAGACCCGATTCCCATTTGAAGCAGACCCCATAAAAAACAATGGGATGACCCTAAATGTGACCCCGAAACAAGCAAAAGGGAACAATTACGAAACAATTACGAAGCTTCGGAAATGCAGGTTATGAAACTAAATGGGATCCCTCCGACTGAATCTCCAAAACGGGCCATTTCTAGTCTTGCAAATCTGGACCCAGACCCAATTCCCATTTAAAGTAGACCCTGTAAAAAAAATGGGATGATCCTGTATGTGACCCCGAAACAAGCAAAAAGGGAACAATTACGAAGCTATTACGAAGCTTCGGAAATGCAGATTACGAAACGAAACAGGATCCCTCTGACTGAATCTCCAAAACGGGCCGTCTCTTGTCTTACAAATCCGGACCCAGACCCGATTCCCATTTGGTGTAAACTCCATATAAAACAATAGGACAACCCCAAATATGACCCCGAAATAAGCAAAAGGGAACCATTATGGAGCTTCGGAAATACAGGTTATGAAACTAAGCAGGATCCCTCTGACTACAAAACGAAACGGGGGGCCACCCATATCTCCAAAATGAGCCACCCCTGGTCTTGCAAATCTGGACCTGGGCCCGATCTCCATTTGAAGCAGACCCCATAAAAAACAATGGGACGACCCTGAATGTGACCCCGAAACAAGCAAAAAGGGAACAATTACGAAGCAATTACGAAGCTTCGGAAATGCAGATTACGAAACTAAACAGGATCCCTCCGACTTAATCTCCAAGTCTCTTGTCTTGCAAATCCGGACCCAGACTCAATTCCCATTTGATGTAGACCCTATATAAACAATGGGACAATCCTTAATGTGACCTGAAACAAGCAAAAAGGGCACAAATCCAAAACAATTACGAAGCTTCGGAAATGCAGGTTACGAAACTAAATGGGATCCCTCCGACTGAATCTCCAAAACGGGCTGTCTCTAGTCTTGCAAATCTGGACCCAGACCCAATTCCCAATTAAAGCAGACCCCATAAAAAACATTGGGACGACTCTGAATGTGAACCCGAAACAAGCAAAAGGGAACAATTACAAAATAATGGGACGACCCTGAATGTTACCCCGAAAAGGGAACAATTACGAAGCAATTACGAAGCTTCGGAAATGCAGGTTACGAAACTAAACAGGATCCCTCCGACTGAATCTCCAAAATGGGCCATCTCTAGACTTGCAAATCCGGACCCGATTCCCATTTGATGTAGACCCCATATAAAACAATGGGACGACCCCGAATATGACCCCGAAATGAGCAAAAGAGCAACTCACATTGAAAGCTGCGGTCCAGGAAGTCCTGGATGCTGGCGGTGTCTTCGCTGGCCATGGCGGCCACCTGGGAGTCCAGCGCCGTCAGCCACCGGCGGCCCGCGTCTTGCAGCGACCTACGGAGAGGAAGGACCTCCATTGGTTGGTTTCTCCCACGGGAGAACTTCCCTGGGAACCCCAACAGAGTGAGACGGTGATGATATGCTCCGGTCCGCCCCGCAGGGCTGTTTTGCAGCAAGCCGAGCCCTTTTCCCCAGCTTATAAAAAGGAAGCCTCTGCAAAAAGGGAGGAGCTGGGAAACAGAGTCGCACCTGAGTCATGGAGACGGCACCTGGAAAGGACATGCGAACCAGGGATTTAAATATTACACACACACACACACACACATATATCTCAACACGAAAGGTTGGGAGAGGCGGAAAGTATACAACGGGAAGCCCAAGTTTTTGCAACTTGACCAGTTTTGCATCTCTTCTTCTTGGATCGAGTGCCAAGTGTTGGGTGGCACCGCAAACCTTGAGCCAACCTGGATGGAGACGGAAACTGAAATATTCCACTCCTGCTTTTGATTTTGTTCCTATTTATTTATTATTTATTTCGGTTTCTTCTACCCCGCCCTTCTCACCCCGAAGGGGACTCAGGGCGGCTTACAAAGCAAAGGCACAATTCGATGCCCACATCACATAACAGTTAAAAACAGAAATAGCATCAATTCACAGTTAAACAACAATTCCTACATTACAACTATAAAAACCAATAAAATCAATAAAACCAATACAAACCCAATTCCTCCTCATAAACGGTCAGCGTTCGCTATCTCATAGTTCCATTTTCAATACGAAAGCTGACTGGCACAACCTGGGGATCACAACCAGACACAGTGAAGACATCTGCCCTCGCGCTGTGCTACTCTGCTGCTGAGTACGCATGCCCAGTGTGGAACACATCTCACCACGCTAAAACAGTGGATGTGGCTCTTAATGAGACATGCCGCATTATCACAGGGTGTCTGCGCCCTACACCACAGGAGAAATTACACTGCTTAGCCGTATTGCACCACCTGACATCCGCCGGGAAGTAGCAGCCAATAGTGAAAGGACCAAGGCAGAGACATCTCCAGCTCATCCCTGTTTGGGTATCAGCCAGCACGTCAACGACTTAAATCTAGACATAGTTTTCTAAGATCTACAGAGACACTTGCTGGAACACCTCAGCAAGCGAGAGTCCAAAAGTGGCAGGCTCAAACCCAGAACCTCAACCAATGGCTGATACCAAATGAGAGACTCCCCCCTGGGCACACAGAAGACTGGGCGACTTGGAAGGCGCTGAACAGACTGCGCTCTGGCACCACAAGATGCAGAGCCAACCTTCAGAAATGGGGCCACAAAGTAGAATCCTCGACATGCGAGTGTGGAGAAGAGCAAACCACTGACCACCTGCTGCAATGCAACCTTAGCCCTGCCACATGCACAAGGGAGGACCTTCTTGCAGCAACACCGGAAGCACTCCAAGTGGCCAGATAGTGGTCAAAGGACATTTAACCAGCTACCAAACTCACAAGTTGTGTATTTTTCTGCCTGTTTGCTTTGTTCTGTTAGAAATGTAATATAATGGACTGGCTGCTCTGACACGACAAATAAATAAATTTTCAATTCCACATTGTCATTCCTAGTCATACTCGTCTTATTATCTTCTCTAATTGTCAGATTGCCCGAAGGCCTGGTCCCACAACCACGTCTTTACCTTCCTCCTGAAGGAGAGGAGGGATGATGATGCCCTAATTTCCCCCAGGAGTGAGTTCCACAGGTGAGGGGCCACCACTGAGAAAGCCCTGCTCCTCGTCCCCACCAGCCTCACTTGTGGAGTCGAGAGCAGGGCCTCCCCAGATGATCTCAAACTCCGGGGTGGGACGTAGAGGGAGATACGTTCGGACAGATACACTGGACCGGAACCGTACAGGGTTTTGTAGGTCAAAACCAGCACCTTGAATTGTGCTCAGAACTGAACCGGCAACCAGTGGAGCTGACACAGCAGGGGGTTGTGTGCTCCCTGTATGTTGCTCCGGTGAGCAATCTGGCTGCCGTTTGCTGGACCAGTTGAAGTTTCCGAACAGTCTTCAAGGGCAACCCCACGTAGAGTGCGTTGCAGTAGTCTATTCGAGATGTAACAAGAGCATGGACCACTGTGGCCAGATCAGACACATACCAGTTCCAACACATACCCTTCCTTAAAGGGCAATGGAGTCCGTTCCTGAATCAGACCTCTGGCATTGAGACTGAGTCACGTTATGGATTGTGTAAATACCCAACCTTCATAGGCTTGCTATGTATATAGCAATAGCAAACCTATGTAAACAGACATGCTATATCCACAAGAATGCAGAACATCAGCTCTTGGGAAGACAAGTGGCGCTTCTGTCCAAATCCACACTGGATCCTAACATAATTATGAGACCGAAAATGTTATCTGGGCATTAAACAGAGTCTACATATTAGTACTAACCGGGTACATATAAGATCGCCATATTTCAGGGCCTAGACCTAAGTATTGAAGGGAGATGCGAGTGCGAATCCTCCAAATTAGGAAGATAAGGCCTGAGTGGAAATCTCCAGCTGCAAATAGGCATCTTGTTAATCATTTTTCCAAGGCTTAAATTCATTTCTTGAGGCCATTTAGTTAGGTTCCCCTTTCCTTTCTAACTTCTATGGGAGACCAGGACTCACCCTCCACTCTGCTCTGCAATGCTGGAAATAAATAGGTCACATCTAATTTCACTAAGGGTGCTTCTCTACTTTTCTATATTGTATTATTATTGCATACCCCAATTTTCTATCTTCTCCTCCTTCTCCTTCTTCTTCTTTGTTGTTATTATTATTATTACATACCCCACTTTTCTTTATTATTATTATTATTATTATTATTATTATTATTATTACTACATATTCTGTTATCATTATTTCATGCTCCACCTTTCTATATTATTATTATTATTATTATTATTATTATTATTATTATTCCTTTCTAACTTCTATAGGGAGCCAGGACTCACCCTCCACTCTGCTCTGCCCTGCTGGAAAGAAATAGGTCACATCTAATTTCACTAAGGGTGCTTCTCTACTTTTCTATATTGTATTATTATTGCAAACCCCAATTTTCTATCTTCTTATATGTTGTTGTTGTTGTTGTTATTGTTATTATTGTTGTTGTTATTATTATTACATACTCTATATTGTTATCATTATTTCATGCTCCACCTTTCTATATTATTATTATTATTATTATTATTATTATTATTATTATTATTATTATTATTATTATTATTACTACTAGACAAGCTTCCACCTCTCTATGTTTTCTTGCATGTGCATTATAGTAAACTGCCAAGGCTTTGTGCAGTGGGATCCTGGGAGCTGTAGTTTGCACTCTTTTTGACAGACCTTTAGAAAACTACAACTCCCACAAGTCCCGGTAGTTTAAGTGGGGTCAACCTGCAACAAATGCGGTTGGGCATCACTTTGAACTGCCTTGGCTCCATGCAACAGTACCCTGGGAGTTGTAGTTTGCACTCTTTGGGGCAGACCTTTAGCAAACTACAACTGCCGTGAGCCGTGGCAGTTCAAGGGGGGTCAAGCTGCAACAAATGCAATTGGGCATTACTTTGAATTGCGCTGGCTCCATGTGATGGGGTCCTGGGAGTTGTAGTTTGCGCTCTTTTAGGCAGACCTTTAGAAAACTACCATTTCCATGAGTCCCAGTAGTTCAAGTGGGGTCAACCTGCAACAAATGCAATTGGGCATCACTTGGAATCGCCTCAGCTCCATGCAACAGGACCCCTGGAGTTGTAGTTTGCACTCTTTTGGGCAGACCTTAAGAAAACTACAAATCTCATGAGCCATGGCAGTTTAAGTGGCGTCAAGTTGCAACAAATGCAATTGGGCATTACTTTGAACGATGTTGGCAACATGCTATGGGGTCCTGGGAGTTGTAGTTTGCACTCTTTCGGGCAGACCTTTAAAAAACTACAACTCCCATGAGCTGTGGCACTTCAAGTGTGGTCAAGCTGCAACAAATGCAATTGGATATTACTTCCAATCACCTCGGCTCCAAGAAACGGGACCCCGGGAGCTGTAGTTTGCATACTTTTAGGCAGACCTCAGCAAACTACAACTCCCATGAGTCATGGCAGTTCAGGTGTGGGTCAAATTGCATCCATTCTACAGTGGAGACGTGTCCTTAGTGAAACTATAACTCCCAGGATCCTAATTGGTGTCGGACCGTGTTAATTGTATGACGTAGATGATGCCTCCTCAATGAGGACTAGGGACTTTGGTTCCATCCTGTTGGTTCTCCAAAGCAACGAAACCCGGCTGCTCAAGACGGGGCATGAATACTCCTTTCAAGTGTCACATTTAATCTGGAGAGATTTGCCGGCTCCACCCGACTGACTCCCGAAAGAGGAGAATCCAAGCCTTTGTCCTCGGCATCCATGCACGCGCACCAAAGGAACGAGGGCAGGGCCATGCGCAATGCGCACCGATTTTCGGGGCCAAGCCCAGTTACATAATGGCCAGAGAATGGGACCGGCTGGCAGCGCCAACCCAAAGCCCTGCGGTTGCTCTAGATGCAGAGAATGACGATGGGATTCCTGCTCAGAGTGTCTTTTCTGATGAGAGTGTTCCTGAAGGGTTTGGGGATGATGGTGTGATCCCCGGAAAAGGGCCTGAATTGCTACCAGAGAATTCCCAAGACTTTGAGCCTGAGAATAACTCGGCGCCTGGCCCAGCTGCAGAAATTAATGATACAAGGCATGTTTTTAGTCAGCACAGGCAAACAGACCAATCTCTCAGGCGCTCTGCCAGACTGAGAGAGAGAGAGAGAGAGAGAGAGAGAGTGATAACAGAGTCAAGGCTGAAACAAAATCCGCTTCTGGCCACAAGATACAAGGCATGTTTTTAGTCAGCACAGGCAAGCAAACCAATCTCTTAGGCACTCTGCCAGACCGTGAGAGAGTGATAACAGAGTCAAGGCTGAAACAAAATCCGCTTCTGGCCACTAAATAGAAGGCATGTTTTTAGTCAGCATAGGCAAACAGACCAATCTCTCAGGCGCTCTGCCA